ACGCTTGCGAGTTGACTCCTTTTTGCGTAGCTTCGACTCATTTGTAATAGCTAATTGTGGCGGCAGGAATACAAGTGGTTGAAGAGTATACACATCCGTGTCTACTCGGCCATCTGGTTGGAAGCAAACATCACCATATGGTGAAATTTGGCCAGAAGTACTCCGCATTGCTTTAGTAGTGTGTGTTAACCATTGTCTTTTATGTCAAAATAGCTTTAATGCTCTCTTCCTCTTCTGAGTGACATTACTACTACCTGCGTTGTGATGGTGAGCAAAACAATAACATTCTGGTGCGCACAACACTGCCCGTCTTCGCGACTGCCAAAGGAGAAGGCGCCTAGTCAAGAACATAATTCGATTCCGGTTTTGAGTAGTGGCGCAAAGAGGAGGGCGTGATCACCTCGAAGGAACTACAGAGGTCACGTAAAAGGAAAGGCTTAGAAATCATCTGAGCACCAACTCACTAACACTGGATCTCACCTCTACAGGAACTTCTTTCTGTCCCAAGTATTGCTGTTTGGTCTTCAACAAGCAACTGTGTATCAAAGTCAATTTCAAAGCAGACTTGATGCTTTCCCTTTGAAGTGGGCAGTTTGTGGGCACAAGTCAGTCAGCGTGCAAAGCTTTGATGATCCTTCAAACTGTAAGACGAGAAGAGGTGTGTGGCCTTGATCCACCTTTTCCTCCTTTTCCATCTCAAAGACACAAAAACTAGCCCTTGGAACACTCACCTTAGGAAATAAGAAGTGGCCTTTACTAAGACTTCAATTCTCAGCACAAATTTGGTAAATGCACAAAGACGGTAAAATGGAATGGAATTCGCCCCTTTGGCTGGAATGACATCGAGTGAGAGCAGAACTGTGGGAGGTAGTGGAGTAAAATTTGCCCTACCGACAGACTGCGTCAAATCGGCTCTTGCAATGCAAATTATGCGACTAAGCAAAGGAGTGCCTCTTGTAGCCTCCAATAAGTGTGTTGAGGCAATGTGGAGGTCACAACAGGCGACAGGACCGAAGGACCTAAACCGCATGCACATCTGACATCCTTTTGGACTACAGGCCAAAATGCCTCCTCACGGACTATGTTCACATGTTTGTTTCAACTCCGACACTCACCTTCCATAACGTAAACCACAGAGCCCATTTCTCCCTCCCGAATGATGGTATTGCCTGTGGCAAAGTTGACGGAATACATACACTCCACAATCTCCACCGCCTGTGATGTGTCCAAATTCTTCATAAAATCGTTCTCCAAAATTGCCTGATTCAGTATTTCCCGAGTTCTGCAATGTTAGAGAAAAAAGAAATTTGTTTGATTGTCCTTCTTTTACGTGTCCCTCGAGCATTGATGATGCACGAAGGTGAACGGACGGAGCTATCATTATACTCCTCCTCCCATCAGTCAATTTTTAAGAGGCGTTTCTTAAATACAAGGCAACTGGTGTTTATTTGACCCTTGAAGGGGCCACAGAGAGATCAGTTTGGCAACATTTAGGCTTGAGGGTTGAAAGTAGTTTGTTCTCAACGTCATTATCAAGATGCACACATTTATGGAGGGGAATTTGCCAAGGAAGAAAAAACGTTTTTTCCCCACTGAGGGGTTCCTTTTTTGTTCATTTGAATCAAACCCAAAATCAAGCATTATAAACGTTTTGGTGCCATCAAAGTGAAGAAACAATGCCTTTGCTAGGTCACATAGTTTACCGTCTCCATTGATGTATATTTTTGCTCAAGTCAACAAGCCATTCATGTTGGTGAGACAAATGAATACTCTAACGGAG